CGGCTCCCGCGGTCCCCGGCGCGTGTGCGCGCACAAACCCTCGGTGCCCCCGGGCCGGGGTGCGGCTGCGGGGAGCGCGCCCCGCGTGCTCACGGCGCTGGGCTGATCCGCCGAAACCGGGCTGTGGAGTGTGGTCATCTGTTAATTGTCTTATTTAAATTTTTTTAAAAAATGTAAAATGTAAATTGAAAAAATTTTTTTAAATTTAAATTTCCCTAGTGCATGCTCGTAGTGCAGAGTGATTACACTCGTCGTGGACGTCTCCTTTCCTTTTCGTGTGCTGCTGAGCGTGGAATCCAGACCCTGGTTGTGTGAACTTACCCCGGAGCTAGATGCCCCGCCCCTAATTCTCTCTGCAGCGGGCTGAGATTGTCAAGCTGGATGTACACGTCAGAAAAGTGAACTTCAGAGGGGCTGAAGTCCGCTGTGCGATTTTCGAAGACTGACCCTCCTGCTTCAAATAATTACTAAATGAATGAGAGAGGCCGAGTAGAACATCGCTTGTCTAAGGTCACTGGCAAAGTCAGCGCTCGCGCGGGCGCTCCCGGCTGTGCTTTTTCAGGCAATCACGTGTTAATCAAGCACCCGACTGCTGGAGAGTAGCAATCATAGACCTTACTCCGATCCCTTATCTACCTTTCAGGAAATACAGCTATATAGTATTTGAAAGAGACGCTCCTTGTTTGTGGGGATCGGTTTCGAGACGTCTTAATTGTGTGTAATCAACCCAAATAAATAAATATTTACCAGCGCTTGAGACATTTTAAAATTCTAGTATAGGTAGTACCAGACACATAAGAGGGAATTGATACATACTTGATACTTTTGTTCAATTTATATTATGGAAGGGTCCGGCACTGGGGAGGCTGAGGCAGGAGGATCGCTGAGAGTTCGAGGCCAGCCTGGGCTAGAAAATGAGTTCAAGGCCAACCTGAACTGCATAGTGAGACCCTGTCTCTAAAAGAAAAAATAATTTTTTTTATACGGAAGGGAATGTATCCTTCCTTCCCTCTCTGCCAGTTCTGTGCTTCAGGACCAAAATACTGTGAGGCCACCAGAGGGTATCATGACACTGTCTTTACTTACTGTATTTTTTTTTAACCTCACAATAACCTTGTGTCAAAGTCTTTACAATCTACATGTTTTATTCCAAAGCATTTTGTTGTCAAAGTAAACACAAAATCTTTCCCCTCCCACCCAGTGACTTACTTTTAAAGAATTATATGGCTTGCCACTTAGAAAAGCAGTACAGTGTTTACATGTCCTGTAACATAATCACAAAGAGGCACTTTAAAACTCTTTGTAGAGGCTGGGCATGGTGGCACAAGCCTGTAATCCCAGCACTGGGGAGGCTGAGGCAGGAGGATCGCTGCGAGTTCGAGGCCAGTCTGGGCTACAAAGTGAGTGTAAGGCCAGCCTGAACTGCATAGTGAGACCCTGTCTCAAAAAGACCAAAAAAAAAAAAAAAAAAATAGCTCTTTGGTTAGTCAGATGATGAATCCCAGTTTTACACTGAAGTTTCCTTTTCCTCCGGTGTCAAGGGAGGTGGCAGCTGGAGTAAAATCTGGAAATGTTAAGAGTACCAATTTGTAGAGTCTGTTAAATCCCAGTGCACATTTTTCTTAGGAGTAATCATCGTTGTTCTACAATTCTGCTTAGGAGTAATCAATCTTTTTTTTTTTTTTTTTTTGTATCGGGAATGGAACCTTGTGCTTGCCAGGCAGGCCCTGTGCGGCTGAGCTATCTCCCCAGCCCCTCAATCTTCTTTTAGGTTACACTTGTAGCATAGCTTAATTTTGTTCCTTGATTTAAAAAGGGATACCCTAGGAGGCTGAGGCGGGAGGATCATGAGTTCTAGCCCGGTCAATTTATAGATTTAGCCGCTGATTTTTGTTTTTATAAAGCATGTTTCCTACAAAATGAACATAATAGAAAAGTTTAAAGAACAAAAGAAAATTTTAACATCAACCCCCAAGTCTGAGCCGATCAATGACAGCATTTTGCATGTCTTTCTGTTGTTTTTATACCTGCATACCTATATACTTTTCTCAAAATTAGAACACTATTGTTCATGTTGTTTTGTAATAGCTTTCCCCCTAGTTAATACAGCATGGAAGTTCTTTGTGCTATTGAAATATTAGGCCTGGCATGGTGGCACACACCTGTAATCCCAGCAGTGGGGAGGCTGAAGCAGGAGGATGGCCATGAGTTCAAAGGCAGCTGGTCTACACAGTGAGGTTAAGGCCAGCCTAAACTACATAGCAAGACCCTGTCTCAAAAAATCAAAGAAAAAATGAGATGTTAAAAATATTTTACCAAGTTGCCCATGGTGGCACATGCCTGTAATCCCAGCACTTGAAAGGCTGAGGCAGGAGGATTACCATGAGTTCCTGGCCAGCCTGGATTACATAGCAAGTTTAAGGCCAACCTGGACTACATACCAAGACTCTGTCTCCAGAAATAAATATGCTTCGCCAATTAGGTAAATAAAATGTAGTTTGCATTTTAATATCTATTTCTGTGACACTGAATATTTTCTCATGTGTTTATCTCTCTCACATGTCATAATTTTTTTCGGCCACCTGAGTTCTGGGATTACACGCAAGCACCACCATGCCGACAATTCTTTTGTCCTTATTTCTCTCTATCTTGTAAAATAGCCTGAGATTAAATTTGTAAATAAATCATAGCTTCAGCTGATGCTCAAGTAATTGCTCAGGGCACTGGTTTTTGAATTTTCACTGCATCAGAAACACGGGGAGATCTGGTTAAATTTCTGCGACAAGGGGTGCAGTGGTAGAATATGTACCTGGCAGTAAAAGGCCTTGGCTTCAAGCCCTGGCACCCACGGGCAAGGTGGCGGAGCAGATTTCTGTGTTTTATTTCTAGACTTCCTCACTGGGTAAGTGGGTCAGGGCCTGAGCAACTGAGGTTCTAACCAGTTCGAGGCAGTGCTGATACTGCTAGGCTGGAGTCACACTTTGAAGAACCACTGTCCTAAGTTCACCTCAACCAATCCCCACACCATCCAAGTAGTATTTCTCACTCATCTTCCATAGACAGACTCAACTTCTTTCTCACCCGGGTGCTCTAGTATGTATATTTTCTGTCTGCAAACACTTTCCCTGGTTTCTCCCTGTAGCATCAAGTTCATAGCTGTCTACTGTGGCGGCATCAGCCTGTGGTCTTAGCCGCTTGGGAGGCTGAGGTAAGAGGATAACAAGTTTGAGCCTAGCTTGGGTGACTTAGCAATACTTGTCTCAAAATGAAATTTTAAAGGGCTGGAGCTGGGTGTGGAGGTGCATGCCACCGAAGCTGAGGCAGGAAGAAGTTCAAGGCCAACATGTGCAATTTAGTGACTTTAGCAAGATCTTACCTCAAAAAGGATTGCAGAGGTAGCTCAGTGTGAAGACCCCGTGTTTATTATTTTTATTCATTAAGTTTATTGGGTACATTTTAGATATACATATTCATATGTGCACCATATTGTATCATATTTATCATAGCGAATTTGTACCTAAACATGATAAAATTTGATTCTTTTTTTTCCTGTTCCTTTCCCCTTCCTTCAACCTGTCTTCCCCTCCTTATTCACAAAAGCTTTGTTTTCATTTTTTTCTTTTCCCTTCCTTCCTTTCCCTACCCCTTCAATAGTTTCCCTTCCCATTTGAACATTTTCTTCCTATTTCAAATATCTATTATACATTTTGGACCTTTTTTACACTTTCAGTTTCTCATACTAGAGAAACCATGCAATATTTGAACATACGTGTCTGATTTATTTCACTTATGAGTATGCTTTCAAGATGCTTCCACTGAGCTAAAAATGTCTCAAGCTTTTCCTCCTTTATGGCAGAGTAGTACTCCCTTGTATAAAAATACTCAGCTTTATCTATTTATTGGTTGATGGGCATTTGGGCTGTTTCCAAGATTTAGCTTTTATAATCTGTGCTGCTATAAACATGGGTGTGCATCTATTACTGTGGTATGATGTTTTAATTTTTTCAGGAAGATACCACGAAGGGAAATAGCTGGGTCAAATGGAACCTGTAGTTCAAGTTTTTTGAGGAATCTCCACACTGATTTCCACAGTGGTTGCACCAGTCTGCACTCCCACCAACAGTGGAATAGGGTTCCTTTTTCCCTATAGCTTCACCAGCATTTGTTATTGGTTGATTTCTTGATGACAGCTGTTCTTTCTGGAGTGAGATGGAATCTCAGCATTGTTTTAATTTGCACTTCTTATGTGACCAAGGATGTTGAACACTTTCATATATTTATTTGCCATTTCCACTTCTTCATCTGAGAAGTGTCTCTTTATTTCAGATGCTCATTTTTGGATGGAAATCTTGAGTTTAGTGCCCTGTACCACAAAGAAGGAAAAAAGGGCAAGAGAGAGGAGCAGGGTTCATTCACAAGTTCCTGGGTTCAATCCCTAGCACTGGGGAAAAAAAAAAAATCAACCCAAAAAACTAAACTCCAGCTCACAACTTCTCCCTCCTATGAAATCTGTGATTTTCCCTTACAGAGATCATCATCAGTCTTCAGCGATTACACATGGTTGGCACATTATCTTATTTATTGCACAAGATGCACGTGAGGATAGCAAATCCCAGGCTCCAAGTCCTCTCAGTGATTACGTGAACCTCTTCCAATCAAGGTACTTAACCCAAACTAACTAATTTCATATTTATGTTATGTTTCTTTTCTGCTATTGATCTTTCCAGTTTGTTTTTTTTTGGGGGGGGTGGGTACCAGGAATCGAACCTAGGACCTTGCATTTGCCAGGCAGGTGCTTGTGCTGCTGAGCTATCTCCCCAGCCTGATCCTTCCAGTTTTCATAAGTTTCTGTCTTCACAAAATTTGCCTCCATACTTGTCTCAACTGTGTTTCACCTTTATATGTGCCCCATCCCCCTACTGGGCACGCAGCCTCGTTTTTCCATATAGTATTCAATGCTATGTCCTTTTTTTTTTTTTTCAAGTACCGGAGATCGAACTCACAACCTTGCGCTTGCCAGGCAGGTGCTTATGCCACTGAGCTATATCCCCAGCCCCTAAAGTATTTATTTCAATTATCACACCTAAGGCAGGCTTCACACATGACAACTGCATGTTGCATGCACACATTTCATTTACACGTGTGCTTGGCTTTCCTTTCCCATGTGCAGGCCATTCTTGTCCCTCTCTTCTCTTCCCGTTTTGTCAGGAGCTTCCTACTATGTTGTACAATGTGCCCTTAACAGGGAAATAAAATAGCAATAAATAAAATATCAAATGTGTGATGAGTGCTTAGAATAGACATCAACATTTTTGTATCAATTGTTTACTTGCTTACAAAACCTAAGAGATAACATCGGAGCAGGGCGAGGGGACATGGTGGTGCATGCCTGTAATTCTAGTACTTGGGAAGCTGAGGCAGGAGGATGGCTACAAGTTTGAGGCCACCCTGGGCTACATAAGTGAGTTTAAGGCCAGCCGGCACTACATGGGAGACCCTGTCTCAAGAAAAAAAATCAGAATATACAAACAAATAAATAAACATCAGTAATAAAAACTTATGTGAATTATAATGAAAATATCAATAGAACTCTACAACAAAAATAATCTTTACTTCGATTGTCATACCCACGGCAGTCTTCACACATGAAAATTGCGCGTTCCATACACAAGTATCACTTACACTGGTCGTACATATGTTTTGCTTTCCTGTTCCTTCTTGGAGGTTACAGTTGACAGCTTTTTGATTTTTCTGTTGTTGTAGGAGATCTTTGGGATGCTGTAGCTGCCTATTCACCTGCCTCCAGTATGGGCCATGATTTCTTTGCATAGTGTTTCCTCTACTGTAAATGATCTCTTATGAATTCCAGTCCCAATTCTCTAAGAAAATTTCTCTGTGGTATTTTGCATTTGTAAACTATCAAACTATGTATGCTACACATGTTTAGGATTCAGGAAAACCTAGCCATTGGCCAACGCTTTGTGTTCCCGGTGGCATCATAGTTGCCGCATTACTCTGCCTTCAGTTTTGTTGTTGAACATTTCCATTGCAGGCTTCTGTTTTGTTGCAGTTTTCCTACTTGGTGAAATGTGGACATCAGTAGCACCTGTTTGGTTTTGCCATCTACTAGGTCAATGTAAATCTTTCTGAAACCCAAAGATTGTACTATATGGTTCTCCGTTTTTGAAATTGCAACACTTCACTTGGAATTTCTGCTTTGTTCCTGCATACAGTTCCTGTGCTGCTCAACTTGTGCTCTGCTGGCAAATGTGACAGCAAGTGGAAGCCAGTACACTGATTGTCGGATGTCACATTTCAATTAGTTTGGGAGAGGGGAGCGGGTCTGTTCACAGCATCATTTGGTTCGTTACTATACAAAGAAGGACTTGATGGCTGAGTTCTGGGATAAATGTCTAAATTGAAAGTACTATAAGTCTTTGCATCTACGAGGGCATACATTTTTATGCATATTTTGACCCACCACTTTTCCATGAGTCTTTTACATTCCTGCTATCAACATGAGAAATCCCTGCTAAGTAGCCAGCCTATGAATGTTTTCAGTTCAGCTGGTGAGGTATCATAATAAATATATTTTTATATGGTTATTGGTACATACAGCATGTTTTAGTTGTGTCTCAGCCTTTATGTATTTCACAGCATCTTGTAACATTTCATCTGTGACAATTTCCAGCACCGAATGATAGTGCTGCCATCCTGTCTAATAGGTTTCAGCCCTGCCAAGACCCTCAGTATATTTTCGGCCCTAGTTCTAACATTGGATTGCTCCATTTGGTTGCCTGACCATTTTGCAACACTTCAACTAGTCAAATATGTACTCACGTTACTATTTTCTTCATCATCTCAGTCAAGAAAGGCTGCATTCCCTGTGTGTGTATCAGTGTGTTCTTACTCCATGTCACTGTCACAGGAACTTTGACTCGCATGACCAATGTCAAAGTCATTGTCATCATCATCATCCAAAGATTGTTTCCTGTATCCCTCAAAGAAGGGTACTGAGATGCACAGCTGGCACTATGACACTAAAGTAAAAATTTACAGTAGAAAAAAGTAAGGGGTGTGTGTGTAAAAATGTACAGTAGAAAAAAGTAAGCAGCACCCTCTGTTATCTTCCTAATAGGGAAAAAGATACATTTCTCTAGTAAATGCACATATTTGTTATCTCTAGGGAAAAATACCACTTTGTTTAGGCTCTGGTAGGAATTACCACGATTCAACATTTTCCAGGTTTTAGTGCTTTCTACTTTCAGGCATTCATGAGGAGTGTCAGCAGCAGTGTTCTCAGTCGCTGCTAGGTGGAGGCATTTCATCTCCAGTGTTTAGTTCTCTAGCTTTCTCTTCTCTGGTAGGGTCACAGGGACCTGTAGCAGGGACAGCACACATACTTTGCTGAGCTTTTGGGGTTGTTTGTTACTGTAGGATTGCTAGCCTATCCTGACAGTTACAGGGCCTAGATTTATACATTGCTTCAGCCAGAGTCTGAAACTGAAAATCAGAAATCTATTAAAATCTGTGGCTGGGCATGGTGGCACATACTTGTAATACCAGCACTCCAGAGGCTGAGGCAGGAGGATTGCTGCAAGTTTGAGGCCCACCTGGGTTACAAAGTGAATTGAAGACCAGCTTGAACTACATAATGAGACCCTGTGTCAAAAAGACAAAATAAATAAAATAAAATAAAATCTGTGTTCCATTAACATGCCCTTAGATTTCATTTGGAGTCATGTAACAAGCATTTATTAATGCCTATTTTCAAGATAAGTGTGGCAGCCACTGTGAAGGGGATAATAAAAATACATTTACTTTTATGGCAGTTTTATGAGGGCACATTGAAAATCTTTGTTATTCTTTCAGACTGATAATTTTCTTAGAATATTTTCGTGTTGCACTTCGGAAGTCCTTTTTTGGGGGACATGATCTTGCTATGTAGTTCAGGCTGGCCTTGAACTCATTATGTGGTCCAAGCTGGCCTTGGACTCATGGAGACCTTCGTGCTTCAGCCTCCTGGGATTACAGGCCCATACCACCAGGTCTGGCATACTTCTGAAGTTTTAACACCAAATATTAAACAGTAACCATGGAGTTGCTTTTGAAGATCAGGAATATCCAGTTTACCTACTCCAATCCTCCAGTCCTTGACTAGCCTACGCTAGACAATATTGCTTTTCCTGTTGTTGATAATGAGAGGAAGGAAAAAAAAAAGTGAAAGCATAATTATTTGCAATGATTGCTAATCACAATACAAACAATCTCCTTCTGGGGCGGGATGAGACTCCTTGGTGTCTTTCCCAGTGGGCTGTATGCTCTGTGAGGGCGTGAAATGCGTTTGGCTTGTTTACTTCTGATCAAAGCCTGCCTCAGCGCTGATGCAGTGACCACCTTGTAAGTATGCGTGGCATGAATGAAGGATAGAAGGAAGGGATGTGTGAAATCCTTAGCGTAGTGTGAGTAGTTGTACACTCCAGTTCATTCTGTGTCCACAGTACGTTTAATAGCAAAAGGCTTACCTAGGAGGCATCTCTTCTACTATTATTATTATTGTTATTACTATTATTATTATTAGGACTGAACCCAGCACCCTGCACATGCTAGGCAGGCATTCTACCAGTGAGCTACATCCTCAGCCCTCTTCTCATTTTAAAAATTTTCTCAAAATATGATTTGAAATATGAAACATTTACTTTGAAAATAGAAAACTGATATATAATCTTAAGAGGAAAGGAAGTCCTAGTTACCCATTAAAACTACCAGGTTTTCAGATATTTTCAAACCGTTAGAAAAAGAGAAAAAGATTTAAAAAGGAACACTATGGCTGGGTGTGGTGCTACACCTTTGTGTCCCAGCACTGAGGAGCTGAGGCAGGAGGATCGCTAAGTTCAAGGCCAGCCTGGACTACATAGTGAGATCCTGTTTCAAAAACAAGGCAGGCGTGGTGGTGCACGCCTGTAATCCCAGCACTCAGGAGGCTGAAGGATGAGGATCACTGCAAGTTTGAGGCCAGCCTGGACTACAAAGTGAGTTCAAGGCCAGACTGAACTGCATAGGGAGACCTCATATCAAAAAGACCAAAAAAAAAAAAAAAAAAACAAACTCACAAAAATTTAAAAATGGATTAATGTAATTGATTTGCTCATTAAAATGCTGAGGTATGAGCTGGGTATGGTAGTGTACATCTGTGATCCCAGCACTCTGGAAAGCTGAGGCAGGAGGGTTGCATATTTGAGACCAGCCTGAGCATGTTAGCAAGATCCTATCTCAAAACAAAAGGAGATAAGACAAAATAAAACAAAGACAAAATGAGCGGGGGTAATAGCTCAATTTGAAGGTCCTGGGCTCATTTCCCCAGAACTGTAAATCAATCAATCAATCAATCAATCAATCAAGGTTGATAGATTCAAAGATAGACTCATTGATTCTAAAACATCAATGATCTTAATGAATGAATGAATTTTTTCCTTGTTCAATCTGCATACCTTTGGGGCTTTTAAAATGGCTTTTATAAAGTTTTATAAACACACACAAGTATCCGGAGAATAATAAACAAACCCTCCTAAGCTCATCACCCTGTTTTCCACAGTTAACAAGATTTTGCTATGCTTAATTTGGCTTCTGTGTCTTATGCTTCCCTTCCTTCTCCTTTTT